TTTTTTTTTTCTGGATGTCATCGTGCCTGTTTGTAAATTGAGATTCGGCGATTTAGTATAAATGTCGATGTTTATTCTTTCTGTTATTCGGCCAATTGTTAAATGATTACATTGACAACAAATTGACAACAATTGTGCATGTGTTTGATTTAATTTTAGGAATAACAAAACATATTTGAAGAGATGAAAAGTCATACATTTAATTGTTTTAAACAAATGTGATTTAGAAAATAATTCACCGAGAAATATTCAGATTTTGATATCTGTAGCTCATTTGAATTGTGTACACAGAACTATTCTAATTTACTGTATTACTCATAATCACATCACATAGACCTGAAAAAAATAAATAAAAGAAACAAATTCATTTGATATACCATCACACCAGATCACACCTAAAACCTTTGAATGCACAAGACAATAAGCATAAGGCAACATTGCAAACAAATTTTAAGAGAAAAAAAAGGACAGTATTTATACGCATTCTACAACAGTTTTTTCACAAATAGATTTAGCTATTTGGCTATGATTCTTACATAATACTATTTGGCTAAAATAAAATTAAAACCCAATAGATTTTTCACGAATATCCCTCAAAAGCTATCTCACACCTTCCAAACACGGCAATCCCCACATTTGTGACGGCGACCGTATGCGAAAATCGACCTTGAGATTTTTGACAAGCCACATCAAGTCGAGCCCAAGAAGATGTGGTGATGTCGAGAACCCATATATCGTTGAAGTACTATTTGTCGCCAACTCCACCCAATGCGTACACCTGCATATAACATTATTCACATGGATCTCGAATTCAGCATTTACCATCATAATAAATTAAGCTAACAGTGTCAGTAAGAACAAGAAAACAGAGAAATAATAAAGCCCAAAACAGAGCAAAACAGGATTCTACAAGTTGTCCTTGAATTGTCCTAATCTCTGTTCCACTGTGTTGGCAGCCTCGTCCCTGCGATTAGGGTTTTCGTTCCTGGTGCTCAGGATTCTTTATCTTTTTCGTTCCTTTCTCTTGTGTTCTTTTGCTTCGGGTCTTTGTGTGCTCATAGTTTCTTTCCTTACCGTTTATCTCTTGTCTGGTCTTTTCTTCTAGGTCTCTGCGAGCTGTGTTTGGGGTACGACTACTTGGTTTCTGATTTCTTCTACAGATTTGGTTAGTGAGATTCTTTGTTCGGGGATCTCTTATGGAGCAAGATATTGTGGATCAGATGCATAGATTCGCTCTCTCCGACAAGGAAAGCTCGGGAATTGAAATATCAGACACAGATGCTGAACCGGGAGTGTTGGAATGTTCTCTGAGCCTTATCGGCAAAATTGTGGGAGAAAAAAAAGCGAGTATTGGGGGTTTGCGCACTATGATGGGAATGATTTGGAAAACAGGCCGGCTATTCTCAATTAGGGTTTTGGATCACAATCTGTTCCAATTCCTGTTTCAATCAGAGGAAGACATAACTAAGGTGTTAAAAGGGAAAGCCTGGACATTTGATGGGCAATATTTGCTGCTTAAAGAATGGAAGAAGGATGACATTGATTTCAAAGCCGGCGAAATGAAAATAGCTTTGTGGGTTCAGATCCACAACCTTCCTCTACACTGGTTGTCGGCGGAAATAGGCATCAAAGTGGGCAAGCTTTTCTCCAGTGTGGAGGATGTTATTGCACCGGGGACTGGGTCCAGTAATGGTAGGTTTGTTAAAATACTTGCTGAGATTGACATTTCAGAACCGCTGCCAAGAGGTACCATGCTGAAATTAGGGCAGGAGCAACATTGGATTGCCCTAAGGTATGAAAACTTGCCTCTCTTCTGCTTTTATTGCGGTAGAATAAGACACAGTGAGAGAACATGTGATACCAAAAAGACTGATGTTCAGAGGAATGTGATCAAAACTGGTCAATATGGGGACTGGATTAGAGCTGCTAATGGGGGTTTTGGGGGATGGAGAGACGTTAGAACCCCGAGTCACTTGGGTTTCAATTCCAATTCTGAGTCTAGTCAAATGTATAAGCAAGGGAGAGAGGAGGGTAGTCCGGGTGCAGAAGGGGATGGTGGGAAGAGTAAGGGGAGTGTGGGGGAGAAACCAGTGGAGGTAGAGGTGGTTGCAGATAAGGCAAACCCTGTTGTGATTAGTGAGGGTCCCCGGGTAGTGGTTAGCACAAAAAATGTTGTTGGTAATCCCACTAATGTTGGTCCTATGTCTGTAACTCCTATGGATTTAGACTCTCTCAAGGGGCATAGGGTGGTTGAGGATAACTTGGTTGATGTAGTGGTGCAATCTTCTCATCATAGTTCTGGTAGTACAAAACCAAAAAGAACTTTTGTTAAAGTTGCTAGAAGCAAAAACATGGAAGACCAGACTAAAAATAAGAATGTTGTCTCTACTCTTGTCCTGTCTGGTGATCATGCTGGGGTGTCTGTTCTTAAAAGAAAAATGCCTGTGTTGGATTCAAATAATAATGAAGTTTTGGAGTCTGTTTTTAAAAAACAAAAAAAATAAAGAGTCTTTGTCTTTAAAAAAGGTGGAGGAAACCAGCCATAACTGGTCCCAAGTTTCCAAATGAGGGTTATGGTGTGGAATTGTAAAGGTTTGGGAGGACCCTCTACAATTTCCCAGTTGAAGGAAAAATTTAGATCCTACCTCCCTGATTTTCTATTTTTATCTGAAACAAAAAAAAAAGCTTTTGTGTCTACTGTCTGTAAAAATTTGCATGTAGAGTCTAAGTGGTTTTGTGTGGATCCTGTTGGATCAAAGGGTGGTTTGCTGTTATGTTGGTCTGATAGAGTCTCTGTGCATGAAATTGTGGATAACCAGTTTAGCTTAGAGGTCAAGTTCTCTTTGTCTGGAGACAAAAACTGCATGTGGGGTGTCTTTGTGTATGCTAGTGTTAACTCCTCTGAGAGATCTTATCAATGGGAGTTGCTCAATAGACATCAACTTAGGTGGGGGGATGTGTGGTTCATTGGGGGAGATTTTAATGACATAATTAGTGGGGAGGAGAAACAAGGGGGGTGGTGAGAGGAGAGTCCAGTTTTCAATCTTTTAGAGGGTTTCTTCAGAATCTGGGTGTGATGGAATGTCCCACTGTGGGACATACTTTTACTTGGTCTAATTTGA